CTCTTCCCTTAGAGATGGGCGGTAAGAGGCTTGTGCCCCCCTCTCCAGCCTCTTTGCTCAGCCGAGTAGAAAAACAAGCCAAGCTTTCCGTCCTTGGTATGTGCCGCACTGTGGTTTGATGACTTCGTAGTACTGCAGCCTGCTTTGTTTAAGAAAAAAAGGGTTTGCTCTTTATAACACATAGAAACATTGACTTTGCTTGTCAGAAGGTCGCAAACGGTGATCACGTGACCACGGAACACTGCAGTTGCCAAGCATCCGAAACTTGATCAGGTGATCATGGGGATGCTGCAACGGTCATGCCGGTTAAGTGTGAAAAGTGGTCATAAGTCACTTTTTTCAGTGCCATTGTAATTTTGAACGGTCACTAAATAGATTGTTGTAAGTCGAGGACTACCTGTATTACTTTTATCAGTGTTAGATAAATAAACAAGATATTATTGTAATACCGTATTTGATTTATAATTGCTAATATATAACTGCAGCTACTTCTCTTTCTTAATCCTGATTGTATTTCCTATCACTGTTTCCTATCCCTCATTTTATTATTTAATGTTGCTGGTCATTGACCGAATAAATAAATACATTCCAAATAAAAACTTTCAAGTTTCTCATAAATCTGAAGGATGCCTTTAGTTGTCTAGTGGTGATGGTCTAACTCAGGGGTCTGCAACCTTAATCACTCAAAGAGCCACTTGGACCGTTTCTCACAGAAAACATTGGGAGCCACAAAACCCTTTTGACATCTAAAATGAAGATAACACTGCATATATCCTTTTTTACCTTTATGTTATGTATAAAAAAACTATAGTGTGTTGCATTTATGAAATCAATGAACTGCTACAAAGAAAACAATTTTTTATGCTGGAGAAAGAGGGGAAAAAAACCCTTTCTCCTTCATCCCAACAGGTGAAAACAATTTTTAGTAGCTTATCTATTATCTTTAAATACAGCATAATTATCCAAATACCTCATCTCTTAATTTTAAAAAAATCAAAGTATTTCATTAAACGTTCTTTACTAAAAGTCCAGTAAGGACAACATATATTCATATCATCATTCTCTCCCTCTCTCTTTTTCTCTCTCTCTTTCCTCTCCCTCTTTCTTTCCTCTCCCTCTTTCCTCCTTCTTTCTCCATCTCTATTCTCTGTCTCTCTTTCTTCTCCCTCTCTCTCTCCCTCCCTCTCTCCAATCTTTTGCTCACCTGGCCAGCTGGCCTCACGCTGTTCTCCGACAAGCTGACACACATTCTTATTGGGCTGCTCTCTCCTGCCCTTGGTCTGCCAGTCCTCTTCCCCCACTAAGTAAGTAAAAGAGTGTGTGTGTGTGTGNGAGAGAGAGAGAGAGAGAGAGAGAGAGAGAGAGAGAGAGAGAGAGAGAGAGAGAGAAAAGGGAAGTGCAAGTGCCTCTCTCTGTCTCTGCAAATGGTGGAAGAGGACTGGGAGCCGCAGTAGAAGGCTGAAAGAGCCACATGCGGCTCCAGAGCCCCGGGTTGCCAACCCATGGTCTAACTGAACAAACAGAAGAGCCTTGTGTTTTTGGATTGACATAACTATAATTGTTTGGACGCATACATATTATATATCTACAGGCCATTTTCAAATGAGAGAAACAGTCTGTCATTGAGTTGACTGGACACAGGCTAACATCTTACATAATTTTGTAGCCAAAGCAGAAATTTACAAAATCTAGTTACAAGATTTTTTTGAATGCAGTTTTGGGAAATGGAGTAAGACAGAATTATTCTTAGGCTATAGGAAAACCTGGTGTCAACTTCAGCTTTGCAGTCCAGTAAATGTCAAGCACAGAAAGACAAAATCATGTACTATAATTCATTACCTTGTTGCTCACAAACACAGTATTTTTAAAAGGATTTTGATGCTTTAAAAAATTCATATTACACAAAGTTGGGTGGGCTTGAACAACAAGATTTTTTCCTCTCAGTATAAAATCTTGATTTCCAACAAATCACTAGAATTATGTTAAAGGTCTACAAGTTCTTTATAGATTACCAGCTTCCTTATGAAGGAGAAATTTTATTTTGATATTGAATCACCTATTAACTTTAGTAATTCTGATTAGTAAATTGCAATCTTCTCATTATATAAACATTAACAGATTTATACAGTACATATTGTGTTGTAAGATATTTTCTTCTTGCTCCCTTTTCTTAAGTTATTTCATCTGCAAGCATTTTTCCTGAGGGAGGAAATTTTCTGGCCATACAGGTAAGACAAGATGGGATATGCGACTCCACAAGCCACTCAACTTGTCTGTATCCATGTAGTTATAGGACTTTGGTGTGTTTGAGTTAGTAAATTTAGCCCAGAGGAAATCTTTCACTCTTTCCTCGACTTCCAACAAGGAAAAGCTCTTTTTCAGGGACTCCCCATCCAGAACAACAGTTAATAGTAAAGCCACATCTTTAAATGCTGCATTTTCATGGTCACAGTACTTATAGAAAATCAAGGTGGAACCTGCAGGTAATGAGTCAAACCGATGGACTACTGCTGCTTTGTTACCATTCTCAAAACCAGAGCTCAGCTTTTCATCAACAGTAAGTTTGACAACATCACTATCTTGAGCTCTTGTGCTGGCCCCATCAATTTTAATTGAAAGTGCACCTTGAGAAGATGAGAAAGCATCAGCAATCTGGTTGCTTAAACACTTCAACACATCTTCAGCTTCCTTTGAAGCGGTGAGCAATAAAATAGCTGGTTCCAAATGAGTGTGAGAAGAATTTAGACGTTTCTCAAAAGTACCTTGGATTCTGTTCCACACTATTGCGTCTTGACTTGGATAGGTGTTCCTGAGCTCTTTCATCTGGTTTTTAAATGCTTGTAGAACTTTATAATCAATTTCTGAAGCATGAATTGATGAATACTGAAATATATACCATCCACCAGCAGCAATGCAAGTTGCCAAAAATATCACAATTGCTGCAAGTGAGTATCTTCTTTCAGGTGTAGAAACTAGTACATACATGTAAGAAGTGAAAAAACAACATTTTCAGTAATACGGTCACATTCTATTACACTAAGTGTATATCTTTATTTACTTGAGTCTTTCTAAACATTTATCGTAAGAAATTAAGCGTTCCAGAAAACAGACTGCAAAGAATTCTTAACTCATTAGGAAAGTGTCAACTAAAGATTTTCAATCAAAATAAAGTATAATAATTTTTTTACTGAAGATTTTAACACACCATACACAAATAACCAAACTGATTTAGCATGCAATCCATTATTTATCACTATATGTTAGGTTTTTGCTAAAAAAAATTAGCATTCAGATTGACCAAAGAACCTCTCATAAAGTGACTCAAACCTATACCATACATAATGTACAATATTAATATCTGAAAATACAGTTTTATTATTTATTAAATTTCTAGATTGCCCCACCCTATAAAACAAAGTGGCTTCACAAAATTAAAATAACAATTCCATAAAAATAACATTCATAAAACAGCTGTCCAAGGGAACAAAATCTCTTCAGTTCAAAAAGGCCTACCGATCAATCTTAACCCAAGGCCTAGGAAAAAGCTGGGATTTTAAAGAATGCTTGAAAATGGGCATGATGGAGATCATATGGGTCTCGGAGGAGGAGACGCTGCCCCAGAGGATAAATGGAGTAAAAGGTTGTTCTCTGTTTCCACTTAATGACAGTGATGGCGAACCTTTTAGAGACCAAGTGTCCAAAAACTAGCCCTCCCTGTCCCGCCTGCTCCGCCCCCCCGCAGGGCCACTCACTGTCTCCACGGCCCACTGCAGCCCAGCAGTGCCATAGCGGCTACGCCCTCCACCTGCGCTCCACAGCATCAACTGCGCGAGGGTGGAGTCTTGTTTCCGCTGCCATGTCCTTGGCTGCACTGCTCTGCGTGGGGGGCTCCTCCAGGGGGGCTGCTGGTGAGGAGGGGGCCACAAGGGGGGCGCAGCTAGGATGACGGTGCGCATGCCCACAGAGAAGGCTCTGAGTGCCGCCTCTGGCACGTGTGCCATAGGTTCGCCAGCACTGGTCTAGTCAATGGGACCTAAAGCAGGTTAATGCTGTCGGAACAAACAGAGCAGATGGACATTACAGGAAAAGGGCAGTCCCTCTATTAGGGTCTATTCCCGTGGTGGCGAACCTATGGCATGCGTGCCAGAGGGGGCACTTGAGCCCTCTCTGTGGGCACATGCGCCTTATTTTTTGACTACGTTTTCGCAGGAAAAAGCCATTTCTCAAGCCCCTTCCTAGCCAAAACAAGCCTGTGGAGCGAGCATGCTTGTTCTGGAGGCTTGTTTTTGCAGGATTGGTCTTAAGAAGAGTGAGGCATGCTCGTTCCGGAGGCTTGTTTTCGCTAGGAAGGGACTTGAGAAATGGCTTTTTCCTGTGAAAACTTAGCCAAAGAACTTGCAGTCTCTGCCAGATCTCCGTTGGGATAAAAAAATGTTTCCGCACCTATGGAGCACTTCCAAATGCAGGGACAGGCTGCATTTGGAAGCGCTCTATAGGAGCTAAAAGACCTTATCCCAACAGAGATCTGGTAGAGACGGCAAGCTCTGTATGTCTGGAATGGGGCCCTTGAGAAACAGAGTACCCCTTTCCATCCAGTCACCCAGGGTGCTTCAAAATGCACAGAATGCCCGCGTTTTGAAAAGCCCCACAAGAGCACAAACAGTCCACAATCCACAATGCCAAACCCTAACCTCCACTACACCCCAGGGCATCCACAATACCAAATCCTAATCCCCACCCCAGGCAACCACATTCCTTCACTAACCTCCTTTCCAGCTCCCTTCTGTGTGTGCAGGGCAACAAAAGAAGTTTGTGGGACTAAAAAAAGAGATCAATCTGACCTTCCAACTTCTCGTGAAAAAAAAAAAGATCCCGCAAAGTTGGAAGGTCTGGTTGAACCGGTAGTCCCACAAGCTTCTTTTGTTGCCCTGCACGCGGTGGTGGAGAACAGAGCTGGAAAGGAGGTTAGTGAAGGGAGGCTTTGGGGAAGCGAGGGGAGATGGGGAAGGGTCTGCTCTGGCCTCCGCTGCCTCACTCCGCCAGCATCAGGGCTCGGAGGCTTGTCTTCGCCAGGAAAAAGTTCCCAAGCCCCTTCCTGGCAAAAATGGAGCCAAAGCGTGCCTTGCTCTTATTGAGAGCAATCCTGCGAAAACAAGGATGACAAAGGACAGCACAGTTAGTTCTGAAAATGAAATCTTTAAAGTGTGGAATTCTCTGCCAAATAATTTTAAGTCAATGAAAGCACTTGGGATTGCTTTCCTTACTTTGTTTGGATCATCTCATGCTTGTGAGCAGCTGTTTTCAGCTTTGAATTATATTGAATATGACATCAGAAACAGACTAACAGATGACCTGAGTGCTGCATGTGTTGCTCTCAAACTTACAAGTATGAGCCAAGGTTAGACAAATTATCAGCAAGCATACAACAGCAAAAATCACATTAATTGTTCAAAAGCACGCCAAATGCAAACTTTTACATTTCAATAAAAAGTTATTTGTATCATTGGAAGCTTTTTTATTGTGTTTTTCTTTTAAGACAAAAGATGTTAATGTATGAGTTGTTTTTCTAAACTAAAACCTCAGTATTCAGGTTAAATTGCCGTGTTGGCACTTTGCGATAAATAAGTGGGTTTGGGGTTGCAGTTTGGGCACTCGGTTTCTAAAAGGTTTGCCATCACTGGTCTATGCCATTAAATGGCTTATAGGTGAAAACTACCCAGAATTACATCCAGACACCAAGTAAGGGCCAACTGTAAATTGTATTCTTTTATGCTCTGTTCTGTCCCATATGTACTTCACCTTATCACTAGTTTGCTTCTCTCTGGCAGTTAATCTAGTTATTAGATTGTATCCCTAGTCTTCAAAATAGAGAAAAGTTAAATCTTTCTGCATAACCAAGTACATCTGCATTTGTCTGTATTACAGAGAGGTCCAGGTTCCTCAGATATTTCAGACATGAGTGCATATATAGTAGACTATACTGGCTACCACCATACATAGTTCCAAAGGATTAAAAATGAGTCTTACTTTTTAAAGCAGTCTGTAGATCCTTCTTCTGTAGAACACTGAGCTTCTCATACTTTGTGATTTTGTGATCTGCTAATATTATGGCAGCCTTTGCTAATAGTTTGAGATTTGGGTAGAGCAAGAGATAAACACATCACTTTCAGTAATTATTTTTTAATTTATATATCAAAGCAATGTTAGAACTTTGCAAATTTATACTGTAAAACATTTTAATTGGAAATAAGCAATAATACAATCAAATTTAAAATAATTTTAATTTAAAGGGTCTTAATTTGAGTTTATTTTTACATAATTTGTAATATCTGTGTTTTATTTCTTAGATAGACCTTCCACTTTTGGTTGCACATATTTTGTGTTAATATTTGCTCTTTATAGTAGCAATGGTAGAAAATCCAAATTTTGTCTAGCAGGAAAAAATGATCCAGTTCTGAGTGTACATGCCACGAGGATTGCTGGACTGCTGTAAGACTGGGCTAGATCCCTGTCAGACCTTTACCCCATGTTTTCCTCTCTGCTTTGCATAAATAATCCAACAGTCAGCATGATCAGGTTGTGACAAGGTTCCATTTTGTGAGACAAAGAAGGATCATTGAAAAAACTTGCTGCTACTCTGACAAGGCGGTTATCAACTTGTCCAAGCAAAGTGGGGAGGAAAATGATAGATAATAGATAAGAGTTTGGGCTTTGTTTGTCTAGGCAGAGAGGAAAGGAGTAGTGCAAGTGACCCTGCTTTGCATGAGGCTTGTAGAAGTTGGAGCCTTTTAAGACTATATTCTGAACTTTCCAATTTGCTTAAACAAGTCAACAACCATTTATTCAAGCGTATTAGGAATTAATCCTGTGGCTTTATGTGCACAAGTATCTCCCACCTGCTCAATCGTGGTCCCTCTCAAATATTTTTGTATCTTAAGGAGTTGAAATAGGGGCTTAATTCTGTATTATTCTGCATGAATAAAATGAACTAGCAATCTTAGTCTGCCAGAACTACTCTGTGGTAAAAAGTATTGTAGTCTTTCCTGGCTATGTATGTCATATGCTAAAAAAAAAAACCTCAAAGAAATTATATCTTTTTAGATGGTCACGGGTAAGACCATAATTTGCTATAATTCAGACAAAATTGATATAACTGAGAGTAGATAATCTGATGAGTCATGGGGATGCTTAATTTAAGCACTTAATAAATCTGCAAATTTCCTTCAGAAAAAGAAAAATCTTCACACTTAAAATAACTTGGGGTGGGACACAGACTTTTGTTTGATTTTAAAAAGCTCTACTACAGCTGCAAAATATGATTCCCTATCCCCATCCTTGAAACTAGACCAGTGCAATGCTAGAGATTTACTTTTGAAGAATTACTTCAAAACATGCAGAAAATCAAAAGAACAACATTAAACTGCCACCTTCATTTCCAGAATTACACAGCTGCTTTAATGCATTTTACATAGGTGTTATTTTTGCATCTCAAAGCAATTCTTCCAAAATCAAATCCAATAGACTATAGTCCTTAGAAAATAAGACTATAACTTCTAGAAATTAATGAAAACATTTTAGGTCTGATCTGCAGATAGGCATTTTGCCAGTTTTGAATTTACATTTTTAATTAATACACAATGGTATTTACATTTTTTAATTTAGAAAATAAAAACTATAGTTTTAGTTATGCAGTTCCAAAAATAAGTACACAGAAGAACCTATAGAGGGCCTGTCCTCTATTATCCTTTAAAAACCAGTCAACTTACTCTCATTTTCTCCAAATTTCCAATTTTCTCATAGAAAAAACACCAATTTTTTTTAGAAATGACATTTTACCCAAGTATGCTGCATTAATGAAATATGACATTTTTCTTTCTTATCTTTTTTACATTAACTCTTCTTTCAAGGATCAGAGTTATCAAAATGGTAACCTACATCTGATTTTCTTCCAAATATGAGTTAATAAGAAAACACTAGGTTTGCCTTTCATTCCAAAGCAAAATCACACTACTAGTACAATGTTGTGTTCAACCAATAAGAAAGGAAATTGTACTTTTCAATACATTTAATTTGAAAACACACTTAGAGAAGTATAGTAATAATCTTTCTAACCTACTGACAGACCTGTAGTGCTGTCACTCAGAACTAAGTATCTGCTATCATTTATAGTGGCAGATCATAAAAAGAACACATATAGTTAAAATAAATATGCAAAATATGAAATATTAAACCAAATAGCATAATTCTATATATGACAGAGCACAATGCTAATAAATACTTTGTTTTCTGTGCCTTAATTCCTCCGAATTCTGCGCTGAATCTGAAAAAGAACCTCATTAGGAGAAAAAATGATCATATTAGAGATATAATCCAAGAGGTCTCATCTCTTTATTACTACAGTATGTCTAAATACAAGAACAGATACTGATTAAAAAAATATTTATTCACCAATTACAAAATTCCTTCCAAAATTACTTCACTAGTTTTAATTAAACCAGCAAAAATAAGACAAAACACAGCAACTATATATACTTAAAACAGTTCTCTTAAGATATGATCAAAAATATCCATGATAAAAAGCAGGTCTTAATCTAGGAATTGCCAAGATTAATGACAGTAGGGTGACTAACCATGCCCTACAATATCCTACTAGTCAAATATTCAGGTATTTAAACTCTTTACAGTTTTTCAATTTTTAAGAGAAAGTAGGATCTGATTCTTTTAAGAATACAACATGAAGACTATATTCTTGGAACAACAAACAGAAACCTAAAGAAACCTAGAGTGACAGGACTGTAAACAGAAATAAAGACAAATAGATAAAATTTGAGGTTTGTAACTGGATGACTTTAAACACAAGCATCAATAGTTTAAGCTGCTTCTGGCTTGAAAAGGGAGTTAGTAAAGAAGGCTATGCTATGAGATATGAGTATTGACTGGCAGTCCAAAACAGCACTAAGATCAGGGGATAGAGAGAGGAATTGGGAACAGCTGTCAAGAGACTATTACATAATCTAGGCAAGCACAAATAAAACCACAGATTCCTCTGTCAGTCTACCAATATGCATCAAAGGCAAATTGTTATAAATTATAAATCCAATAAGTGATTGCAAAGTCACCTGATTTCAATTTCATAAAATACACATTGATTAAAACAGTTGCTGGAAGATGCATTATTAACACATCTATTGTAGTATTACATGGGCTGTGGAGGTAGTCCTTGACCGATGACCATAATGGAAGCTGCTTAATAACCTCCATCCCCTGGTCTCCCCGATGCAGTTGTTAAATGTCAGTACAAGTCATGGGGAGCTTCTGCTCCAGGCCTTCTCCATCCAAGACACTTTGTGCTTTACTTCCCCCGCCCTGCAGGATCCCCATAACTCTTGGGCCTGCTCCCCCTCCCACTGGGTTCCTGCAGGCCTTAGGCCTGCTCCCCATCCCACCAGGTCCTAGAACCTTCTCTTTGCTTACCTTTCAAAGATCTCTTGAGCTCGGGAGTTCGGAGTAGGGAAGGAGGATTACCTATATAATAAGTCACAGTTAGTGCAAGTTCAAAAAAACCCCTGTAATATTCAATTTAGTGAGAATTGTAAATTGATAGTCACATTTAACATCATTCCAAATTCAGTTAATGGGAGTCTAGTGTGTGAAGCAAGCACATGCATAGTCATAGTTTTAGATGAAGCTAATCTTTATTTGTGCAAAATGGAGAAAAGAAAATTCCTGTCAGAGGAAAACAGTATACAAGTTTAAAAAGAAGAGGCTCATTATTATATTGGAGCAGACATGTCAAACTCGCGACGTCACATGACATTGCGTGACATATTGGGACTTTTTTGCCATTGCCGGCAATGGGATGGGCGCGGCTTCTGCGTGATGTGTCCGACCTGCGGGCTGGCAGTTTGACACCCCTGCATTAGAGCAAAAATTTGATGTAATTGAATGACATGAATGTGGTTAAGACTAAAATAGGACAAGATATGGAATGGATGAATTTTACAGTAGAACTTTTTTTTGTTTTCTATAACCACAAATTTAAATTATAGGTATATTATTTTTTATCCTTTACTGTAACATTTCATTAATATTCATATAAAAATTATGTTTAAAAGTTTTCATTGTTTTTCTCATGCTGAAACGATTACCATATTTTCCATAGAAATACTACTATGAACAGTGTGGATTTGAAAAAGTTCACCATTTCGTGGAACTCATTAATCTCAACTGAAACCGACCTGTATTAGGAAATTGTTATGTATCTGCTGAATTGGACACTAATAAAGATCAATAAATTAGAATTAGGATGGATTTTTACAAGTTTGATATTACAATTGAAAGAAAGTTCTAATGTGGTTTGGAGTTAATAAAGTGGGTTTGAATTTTTTCCCATATACAATGCTTGAATAAGTCTTAAAGTTTGTGAAATATTATTGAAAGTGAATTTGAAAGTACGAATGTTAGAAGGAAATAAAAAAGATGTACTACAATTTATTGATTTTAGAAATATTTTCAAAGAAAAGTCTAGTCTTAAAATAGGTATTTTTTTAAAAAATGGATTTTCCCCTTTAAGGTTAAAGAATTTGAATTAGTAAGTTTTGTTAATATAAATGATGATAGTGTATACAGATTAATATGTACAAACAGAAATATTTATTATTTCCCACAGCAAGGGAAAAAAACAGAGATTGTTAAAGTGATTGCTCTGTTCTATGAAAAGAACATATCTAATATTGTTTCCATTTAGATATCGTGTCTGGATTTTGTGCTTGTGATAAAAAAAATAAAACTTTGGTTTTGATTTTGCTGATTGATGGGTTTGCTGTTATAGAAATGGCTAGCATTTATTATTGCGTAAAAGTAAAAAGTTGAAGCTGTAGTGTTACTAACTTCTATTATTCTAAAAAGAGTTGGAAGTCAATGCTTTCCCCCCCTTTGTTCCCCTTTACCCTATACTTATTCCTTCCCCCCATTTTTCCATTATCTTCATTGTCTTTATATTTTATATTCTGATAAACTAATACAAATTTTGTAACTGACAATCCTAATAAGAGAGGAAATGATGTACAGTATGAGCAAAAGAAGGCAGACTATGAGGTAAAAGCTAGGATCAAGTAAATAGAGGTAGACTACTCAAAATGTTATAGGAGAAATTATGTTTGTCTCAGAACTAATCTTTATCTTCATAATCCCTTGGAAGGTAATGAAATAAATGCTGAAAATCATTTATGTCAGGATCATGAAGCTTTGGCTGAAGAAAAAAAATCTTGAAGTCTAAAATATTTTAAGGCACCATTTTAGAGAATTCTGCATTAGGGAGTGAAATGGACAATTCAAGTCAAATTCCGAAAATAATTTAAACACAGCAATATAAAACGAGGTTGGTAGAAACATGAATCAAAAACTTTTAACAACATGGTTAAACATATTTATGCCATGTGTCATGGTTCCAACAGATGAAACACCTCAAAAGAACTTTGAGGCATTGTTTTCTTTAAAGAATCTTTTATTCGGGAAACAAAATATCGGCACTACATAGCTGAAACCAAAAACTAAATTCCCCTCCCCTGGATACAAAGTAACAACGTACAATTCCCACCCCCAGTAAACAGTCATAAAGCATATTCCCCAATTAGCTTAAAGCAAGGGCTTTCTCCCCAGCTCGCCTAAACATTATCAGCTCTGGGCCCAGTTTGTCCTTGGGTTCCCACGGCAGAGTTATTGTTATGGCTAACTGAGCTCACATCCCAAACCCCCCCCTGCACTAATTCTAAGCGTAAGGAAAAAGGAAATGAGAAAATGGCTGCATTTTCATCTGTTGTCAAAGCAAGAATATCCGATGTTAGCAGCATTGACACCATGTTTTTCTCCTGTTATAAAATATTTTTTTAGTTATTTTTATTTGTTCAATTTCTGTGGCCATCCATTTTAGTCAATAATTCTGGGCAGCTTACAGTTCATACAATATGATATATACATTTAAAAATACAACAGAATTATCTTTGGAAACATTTATCAAATGGAAACAGAACCTAAATAATTGTACACTTTAAACGACAGAGATTTTTTGTTAAATTGCCACAGGTTTTATTTACCTTCTTTTGCGGTCCTAATAGGCTGTCGAGTGAGAATGACACCTGACACTTCAATGTTACCTGTATTTCCTACCAAAGAAAAGAGGAATAAATGAAATAGAAAAATTGTTCCAGCTAGACCTATCCGACAAAACAAAAAAAAATTAAAACAGTTCTAGTTCCCACATAATATGAGAAGAAAATATATATGCATATATAATAGATATTAAAAAACCACTAGGCTTTTTTGTAATATGCTTTTTTCCTACAAATTTATGCATATGTACAAAAAAGTACATATGTTATTGTGTGCTACATTTTCCTACAAACTTATTTACATGTACATAAAAGTGCATCTGTTGTGTGATATGTTGTGTGATATGCATCTCTTTCTGAAGATATATATGCATAAACACTATATGATCTTGGCACCAAACACTGCAATACTGATCATTTGAAAAAATGATCAGAAATTGTATATAATGTGTACTTGTCACCGTGTTGATACCAAAGCAAAAAGATAGATACAGACAGTCCTCTACTTATGACAATTGGGACTGTAATCTCGGTTGTTGAGCAAAGTGGCATTAAGCAAGCTGTCACGTGACTGTTTTGCTCTATCTGCACTCCTGGTTGTGATTGTTAAACAGTCCGAGGTAAGGAATACATACATGTAGCCTCAAGGGGGGTGGGGAAGGCCCTAGATGGCCTGATGCAGGATCACACAAATTGGAGAGGCGCTACAGTGTGGTGCAAAGCCATAGACACTCAGGGAAGCCTCCCTACCCACCTGGCCCATCAGAACAAGCAAAGTGATCCCCTTTTCTTTGCTGTTTTTCACCAGCTGACAGGAAGGCCCTGTTTGTATGAGGTGCAGCCTTTACTATATACCAAGGCCACCTAGCAGCATCCTTAAAGCAGGCTTCATGCTTGCAATTCTTCAGAAGCCTCCTCCAAATTGGGCCATTTGGAGGACGAGGCTTCCGAAAGATCGCAAGAACTCCTGTGGTGTTTGAAAAGTGCCCTTCTCCAAATTGGCTAATTTAGAAAAGAAAACTTCTGAAGCACCATGTAGTGGGCTCTATTCTCATAGTGGTCTACTTTCCATAGATTGGGTACACCTATCAGCAGCTGCAGAAAAATGGCTAGGATAAGTGAGTCACTTTGCTTGCACTGATGAGTTTGCCTTATTTAAGCTGGCAGGCTGGATGGCGATGAAGCTTCCTGGATCTGGACATCTTTGCTTGGGTTGGTGGGCCCAGTGGGCAGCTGAGATGGCCGGAGGGGGGGAGAATAGATAGGTAGGAAGAGTTGCAACGCCCTGTGCTTGTAAATGCAGACAGGCTGCCAAAGGCCTGAATTTTTATCACGACTGTAGGGTAATTGCAATAGCTGTAATTTCAGGCACATGTCGTAGGTCCCTTCATTCAGTACCATAAATTTAAGTGGTGTCATCCATAATTCTCAAATGGAAGAAGTTTGGCACAACCAGGACTCTTCCAAGAGCTGGTCGCCCAGTCAAACTGAGCAATCGGGGAGAAAGTCCTTAGTAAGAAAGGTGACACAGAACCCAATGGTCACTCTGACTGAGATCCAGAGATCTGTGTGGAAATGGGGAAGAGTTCTAGAAGGACAACCATCACTGCAGCCCCTCCACCGACCTGGGCTTTGTGGCAGAGTGGCTAGACGAAATGAATGGTCATAGGTCAAGGATTACTTGTATATTAAGTGTGCTTGTCTAAGAGGACGAACTAATAGGAATGTTTACAATCCCGAATCACTTATATTTTTTAAAAATCTAAAAAAAAGTAAGAACAATTCAGATACAAAAAATGTGAGAACAATTCTAATGAAGATACCATCAGGGGAAAAAATCTAGTATCTTCTAGCAGCAATAAACTTGTATTTCTTCCATCAATAACAATAAGAAAACATAATCTCTAAATTACCTCTTTCAAAGGATGTGCAACAACTGTAAGACAAATAACATTTTTCAAGATTTTACTCATAATCCATCTTTGTCATCACAACTCAGTATGTTCAGTATTAGAAAATGAAATGGAAACTGATCTTTGTCCTTGAGCTACGACCACAATTAAGCCCAAAATTTCTGTTGCTAAGTGAGACATTTGTTAAGTGAATTTTGACCCATTTTACTACTTTTCTTGCCACTTAACAATTGTCTCAGTTAGCAATAGAAATTTTGGGCTCAATTTTGGTCATAAGTTAAGAACTATCTGTAGTTCATGACAACAGACATTTCCATATTAGCTTTCTAATATGAACTTAACCAAGTCCTTTGAAGCAAAAGCTTTCATCCTTTGCATGGGTAAAACCCAGTATTATGTTCAAATCTTATTTTACCAAGAAATGCTTACATGTTGAATTTGGGATTTAATTAACAAAATGTTTGTTACCATAAAGACAATCCAAGATTACCTGTCTGTATTTGCATTTTGCCATTAAAATTTTTGTTGGACGCTCGGTTTCTGGTTTCACTTGAGGAACATTCTTCTAAATATAGAGGGAAAGTCTTTTATAAATAAAGCATAAACAAGCATCCAGATACTATTTATTTAATTTGTGTGTTGCCCATCTCTTCTAGAGGTGACTATCACACCACTCCTAGTCCTATGAAATGCTGTATGCATAGGTACTAAAGTATCTGTGGACACCTTGTGATTCTTGCTACCAATGCTTCACTTTTTATATTTCAGAAATGTATAAAAGAGAACCTGCATATAAGTGTGATATGAAGTAAAGGGCTCCCAATTCTTGGTATTTTGCATTCTGAATGAGTGCCAGTATGTCCCCCAACATAGCCATTTTATATACAACTAAGCCTCTTGCAGAAACCATCTTTGAGCAGGCTCTTAAAAAGTTTGTCGGACTCTTGGAAAAATTAGTTCATAATTCACAATATAGTTCCTATACTTCAGAAACGTTCCCAAAAAACCTTTCAAAGCAAAATAATGGTTTCCTCACTATAACTTCTCTCATATGTCCCTTTTCTTATCAGTTATTTAATTTAATATAATAGTTCATTCCAGTGTGGGATTCAAATATGCGAACAACTGGTTCTCTGTGTGGATAACACTTCCAGAAGTCCATTCTGGGCCTGGGCAACAAAAAATTAGCTACCGGTTGTACCGAAGTGGTGCAAGCTGGCTGAATCCCACCACTCGTTCATTCCCTTTTGCACTGACAAAAACTGCATGAAAATTGGAAGATAAACCTAAGCCATGTTTAAGCTTTTTCTCCAGGTTTTTTTTAGCAAATTGCATTGCATCAAATTGCACCAATTTAGCAATATGGAACTTGCACCATTTCATCTCAGGGATATTTTTTTCATTTTAAAAAATTAGATTGCTTTTAAAAAAACAATAAAAAGATACTCTTTAGTCACCTGCATTTTCTAAAGTAAAGTAATTCCACTAAAAATCAGGTGTCTCCTTACTGAACAATTAAACAATGCATACTATTGTATGGGAGAGATGTAAATATGAATTCTATAGGACAATTCATATAGGTGAGTAGAATCCTATTTTTACATTTTTCTCAAACCAATGCAATTTTACAAGAACGAATTTAATGATCTGCTATTGTTAGCAAGATGTGAAACAATTGCCATGGAAAACAAAATACTGGGATTACCAATAGTTTTAAAAAGAATAAAAAACAAAGATATATTATCAATTCAGGGTATCTTTTATTATGTATTCCTATAGAACAGGCATGTCAAACTCACGACATCACATGACGTCGTGCAACGTATCGGGCCGATTTTGCCATTGCCAGCAATGGGGTGGGCATGGCTTCCATGTGACGCGTATGGCCTGTGGGCCGGCAGTTTGACACCCCTGCTATAGAATGTAACTACCAAATTCATAAATCACCTGCAATATAATTCTATTTTGGGAAAATTATGATGAATAGATTCAAATGGGCATGGCCGAGCCAGAGTAAGCACTGCTCCTGCAAGCTTCTTAGAGCAAATTTCTAAAAAGCAGAACTATTATATATCAGCTCTATAGTGAACTGAGTCAGAAGATTTGGCTTGCATTTTCGATTCTCACAAAGGGAGAAGGATGGCCTTAAGTAAACTGCCCCACAGTTCTCTTTAGCCCACTATGTCACACTGTTAAAATGCAAGCTTTTTATAAACCGGAAATTGAGCATTTTCAATAGATGCCAGCATCTGATTGGGGCTTTCTTTCTAAGGCAGTTTGGCCTGCATCATTTGGATGGGAGGTCACCCAAAAAATACAGGTAGTCCTCAACTTACAACAGTTCATTCATTGACTTCGAAGTTATAACAGCACTGAAAAAAGTGACGACCCTTTTTCACATTTACCATCATTGCAGCATTCTTGCAGCCATGTGATCAAAATTCAGATGCTTGGCAACTGATCATATTTAGGAAGGTTGCATTATCCTGGGGTCATGTGATCACCATCTGACATCTTCTGACAAGCAATGTTGGGAGCCAGATTCACTTAACAACCGTGTCACTAACTTAACTGCAGTGATTCATTTAACAACTGTCTCACTTAGCAATAGAAATTTTGGGCTCAACTGTGGTCGTAAGTCGAGGACTACATGTAGAGGGCAGTAGATTGATAAATCAAAAAATTTCCCCAAAGACATGGCCAGCCACTTTAGCAACAGTACCAAAATAAGCGAGCGTCGAAGTTACCAGCAGTCGAGACTGGCCTCGGACTGGCATCAGTGAGGGCGCCAGGTGTGGAAAAGCCAGCGCTGATATCTTACCTTTGAAAGATCCAGCTAGTTGCTCCTCTTTGGGATGCTGCTGCTCGGTCCTTGTTTCCTTCTCGGTCAGCCATGCCGGTTGGAACTCCACACCATGTTCTTCTTCCTCTTCTGCCGCCGCCGCCGCCGCCTCTCTTTCATCTTTTACAGCCCTCCTGGTAAGCCGTCTTCCCGACATCGCAAAGCCGTGCGGCCTCGGCTTAGTCCCCGCAGTCGAGTACTCGAGTACTTCCTCAGAAAACCTCACTTCCCGCCTACGACCACCGCGATGGCTTCCGCCGTTGCCTTGGGGGACGGAGGCGCACGTTCGAAAGCTGCTGCCGCCGCCATTTTGCGAGGGGGTTCTCCTCAGAGGCTTCCTGGGTGTCACGTGACACAGGAACAATCTCTCCTCGTCCCCGCCCGCCTCGCTCTGGCGGGGAGAGTCCGAGAAGGCTAGTAACTTTCCACCAGACATAGTCGTCTATCCGGTCCGTTATAACCTCACCAACCCCTGGCTGGTTTTTCGACCACCGATGAGCGTAGCCACCCGGGGGACTGGTCTTCAGCGTCTTTTTTCTTTTTAATCGATTTGCACCAGCCAATTTTCATTCTACGCTGCAGGCTGAAAAGAGAAATGAAAACCAATATTGTAGAGATTTAATCCTTTCCTCTCTGCACTTGTTTCGTAGTTTTCCTTCTCAACTTTTCCACGTTTTTTTCTACGCCCTTATTTGTCGTCCTCTTCCCCTAAGACCTAAGTCTTCTTTACAGGAGCAAAGCGGTCGATTTAACACACGCCCTTGGTGAAAGTTAATTTGAACCTCTTCAACAGCCTATATTTTTGACGGACAGCCGCTCCTGGCCCGGTCATCTATGGCATGCCTTACTGACAACCTTTTCCTTTTCCGAAGAGAACAACAAACTGATAGGATACAACAACAAAAAAGAGTAAGACCATTTTATTCTCCCCCCACTCCTCTTCTGGGTTGTCGCGAGAAAAAAGGTTGCTTCGAAAACTAAGCCCTGATAAGTCTCCCAAACAGTACCTAGTCCACAATCAGCAAGTAAAAAGTATTGGCTCAGCCCAGCATCTACTTAAAAAAGTAAGTAGGTCACCGGAAGGCGACAAATATTAACCTCCTAATTGAATCAGCCAAATAAATAAATACTTTAATTCTGAATCTTTGTATACCATCTGTTAATAAGGAAAAATTATTTGGAAAACAATATTTTGGAAACTGCAGTTTCCAAAGAAGGCTGCTGCAATTCAAACTCAAGGAATAAAGATATAGACATTTTGGATTCAAGAAAAGATAAGAAAGGTTCCTGCAAAGCTTTTAATTCAACGTTGCCCAAAACTTTTTTTGACTTGAAAGAAGAACTGGAACTGGAGGATATATGGCAGGACAGAAACATGGATGAGAAAGACTATACTTTTTTTTCGGATAGGCACCAATCCTATTCAAGAATTGATTTTTTTTTGATAACTAATGACTTTCTTTCCAGGGTGAAGAATGTTAAGATTTTTCCTAGGACTTTGTCGGATCATAGCCCAGTGTGGATGGAACTATGCCGTGAAGAAGGAAAGAGAAGATCTTGGAGATTGAATGAAAATTTGTTTAGATATGATATAAATGTGCAGAAGTGTAAGGGTTATTTGAAAGAATTTTTTTTCTTAAATAGGCATAAAGGTACTCCGATTTCAATAGTTTGGGATGCTAGCAAAGCTTATATGAGAGGTATTTTGATTTCTATGAATACTGCTTATAAGAGAAAGCAAGTACAAAAACGAAAAGAATTAGAGGAGGAGATTAAATTGAAAGAACAGGCTTTTATTTTGAATCCGTTGGATAATAATTTAAAAGTATCTATAACCATGCTTAGGGAACAATTTAAAATGTTAATAGCTGACCAGACTGCAACTAGTTTAAGGTATATGAAATATAATACATTTCGTAATGCAAATAAACCTGGCAGGTGGTTGTCTTATCAGTTACGGAAAAAACAGAAATCAAGAATTATAGAGAAAATAGATTACAATGGTAAAGTGACATTTGAACAAAATTTTATTAAGAAGAGTTTCTTGGAGTTTTATTCTAAGTTGTATGCTTCTGAAAAAATACAAAAAGGAGAAATAGATAAGTATTTACAGGAAGCACATTTCCCGAGATTGTCTGACAATCAAA